TATTCGCAACGCTTTATTCTTTTCCTACCTGCATTCCAATAAGACTTTTAAACCTTCCATGTTAAGCCTCTGATCTCATAAAATCTCATTTTGGGAATTCTGGAAACTGCAGCACCCCAAAAGGAAGTTTTCTGAGCCTTACACAGATGTGAGGGCACTATATCCTGTTTTGGCATACCAATGGCTCACTGCCATTCCTGTACATGGGCTCAGCATCAGAGCAACAGGTTCAACTGATGGCTGCTGAGTGACCACCACTGAATCCCTATGCTCTATTATAACAATACATCAGATCATATGACTGTACCATACAATGGGATGAGATTGCCTGGACTTCTTTCCAATCAGCTCTTCAGGTAGTTGCAACATCACTAAGATAGGGCCCTGTTGCTGCTAATTATATGGATGAGACAACTATCAGTATTCCAAAGGCCTTTCCTGATGCTGAGATTTACCAAGGGGAATCTGCACCACTTATCCACCCACATGACACCTCAGCAGATGCTTCTGCTATGGCAGAAATCATTAGTTAACAGTTAAGGAAATGATCTGCCTGCACTGCACCACAGATTATTCATTTATAGCAAGTATTAAATCAGGAAACGCTTCCTCCACCCTTAACAAATTCACCTAATTTAGTGTCAGACTACATGCAGTGTTAGTCATGTAAGTTTGGTGGCTGGGAGAATTTCATTAATAGCCAACATGTGGGAGGAGGCTCATGTGTATGGAGACCCTAGTCTGCAGAGTTAGGGGACTATAACACTCCTTCATCCAATCTGCCTCCAATCTGTACTGAAGAAATGTCTCCTTGAAGCAAATGGTACTTTTTGTTTAATGCAAATTACAAGTACAGGCTTCCCAGTCTACATCAGGCCCACAGTGGAGGGAAAGAGTCAAAAAACCCTAAATACCTCAAAGGCACCAGATCTCAGCTGCTCTTGGAAAGTTAAGTAGGATCAGCCCTGGTTAGTATCTAAATGGGAGAACACCAATGACTACCAGGTGCTGTGGTTATATTTTAAAGGAAGGAACTGGCAAAACCACTTCTGACTACTCCTTGCCTGAGAAAACTCTATGAAATTCATGGGGTTGCCATTAAGTCAACAGGTGATTGGAAGGCAAACACCCGCACACCCTGTATTAAGTCCAAGTGTAGATCAGTGTGCCTCACTGCCTATTTGTCAGAAAAAATTTACTGCATTTATGGCAGAACTATGTAAGGGACTAACATAATCTTTGGTTTGGTCTTTGGTCCTTTCCTTAATATATTTCTCTTTTGCATCATGGATTCAAGGGGGGAAAAAATGAACAGAACTCTTACTTTCTTATATACTGACAGATACAGTTATCAAGATAAACAGAGTACTAATGAGAATTTTTTTTAAAGAGCACACACTATTTAAAATATTTCCTTGAGCTCAGACACTACTTCTTTTAGACTGTAAAAATGGTTTTATTCTGAGATGCTTTAATAAAAGCAAAACCTAGAACAACTAAATTTCTTTTTATTCCCATGACTTTCAAGCAAGAATAATAATGTAAATTCTAAAGATTAGGTCATGTAGATACAAGGCTCGGATGGAAATAAAAGCCAAGTAAAAAGCAAAAGGAACTATCATCTTCAAAATGCCCTATAATACCAAGACAAGTCAAGGCAGCAGTTCAAAGCCAGAAAGCATGGACCATGCCAAATTTTCTCCTATGTACTTCAGCTATCATTACCTCTCATGATGAGTAGGATCTCTCAGTGGCTTGACATCACAGTTTATTCATTCAAGTGCTCTCTTCTAAGAAAATTCATTCCTGCCTTATACTGAAAGAATTGTCTGCCAAGGGCAACACACTGAGCTCATCATGATATGGACAGGATGCCAATGAGTAACTTGTTAACCAGGATGAATTTGTTCATATTAAGTGTCAGTAATTGAAGCTGATTTCTGTTTAATAATAGGAAGAGAACCTCAAGAAGGAAGTTAAAATTGGTTGTGTCTTGGGAATTCACATATGTTGTTTCATGTTTTGAACAATAAATTTCAAGTAATTTATTTTTTACTGATAACATTGCTAAGAGCCATATTTATTTATCTGAATTCATTTCTATCTGTGAGGACAAAGTCCTCAAACAAAAAATAAATAAAATGTTGTCCCATTCCCAAAACAAATGAACATATTACAACCTTTCAAATCCAAGGACCAGCATGAAAATAAAACTACTAAAACCCTACAGCTCATCCAAAGACCTTCTGGAATACCTCCATCACTGGAAGCTTGACAGCGAGCCAGCCTGATAAACCTCCACTAGAATATAATCCTTATGAAGGCTCTTCAGGCTTTCCCCTCTAAAAAGAAAAAGAAAAAGAAAAACTCTCTGCTCCAGAGAGCTATGGCAATGTGTACTGTGTCATACCATTTGTATGTGACTTTAAGCCTATCCCTCAGAGAACAATAATGAAGGAACAGCTTTACTGTAGAATCAGAAAATTATTACAAGAAAGTAGACATTAGGTCTTAAACCTTGAGTTCTAAAACTGGGAGACATCTCAATTCTCAAATGTACTAGCAGGCTCACTTGTTCCAGGGTTGTAGAATGGTGGAAAGTAAAAGCAGACAAAATCTGCCAACTAAACCACCTACTTCTCCAATGCCTTACTTTCTTCAAGGCCACTACATTTTCTTCCTTCTGCACCTTTTACCTCCTACCACCACCAACTTCTCCAGAGTAGCCCCACCAGCATAATTCACCAGTATGTTTCCAGCCTATGTCTTAAAGTAAATCACAGATCCTAGTTCAGTGTGCATTTCACACTCCTTAGTTTTACCAAGATCTGTCTTCATGAAGCCTCATATTTACAAAACGCTTAACCTAATAAATAAATAAATAAATAAATAAATAAACATAGCAGACATGAACAAAGAAAGTAAAGACCTTTTCAGACTGCCAGAAATAGTGCAAATTGAGTCCACTTTAAGGGTTAGGGTTAGTGCTAGGGAATCATGGGAATTGTTTTTTTTCTGAGACATTGAGCCTTCTCTGTCAGAGAGCTCTGGTGCCACAATAAAATACAGTTTCCATGATTCCCTAAATCTAACCCTTAAAGTGGACTCAATTTGCACTATTTCTAGCAGTCTGCAAAGGCCCTAAGTCTCTCACTAGGTTATGTAGAGTTCCAATAACATCTCCTACTTAATCCAAGTAAGATATTTGGTATTTGTGAACTATAGGGGGAACAAACTGCGCTGAATCCAAAAGAATTCCCTGTATTATACTATAGTGACACAGACTAGAGAGGCCTGGGACAAAAAGCTCAGACAACACCAAAGGGCAGTATCATTTGTTCCTTACATACTGCAACATCTAAACAGAAAAACAATATGGGTTATACTTCTATCTGCCCATTCTCCCATAAAGCTAAATAAAATGATTCTTTTTCTTTTGCCCTTCTATGTATACAAGCAAATTCAGGCTTCCAGAGATATAAATGACCCATAGGTATTCCTTCATGTGGGAATTTGCCATTTTAAGAAAGAGATTACCCATGTACTTGGGGAAGGAATAGGGAGAAGCCATCAACCTAAACATAAACACAGATTTTTATACTCGCCGATGATGCAGAATTAGGATTTTAGGTGAACTGACCACTTTTGAAAAGGAAGGGAACTGCCATCAACAAGGGTTTATACTTACACTTCAGTGGCAATGAATCCAGTAAGCTCAGACAGGAAGAGAAACAGTATGAAGAAGCAGCAGCAAACAGAAACTAGAAAAGACATAAGCAGATAAAGCTTAGTTCCAGCTTGCTGACAGAAAATTTTGAAGATATCCTCACAGTACCCATATACTTCACATTGACTCCACAATTGTTCTTCCTTCCTCCACCTGTCTTGAATGTTTTGAGGAGAGCACGAATCCAATCAGATCTAGCCCTATGAAATACCCTGTCACCTTCTCTCCTAAAACCAGGGCCATTTCACAGTACACAATTATAGTACTATGATTCCAGTTTAACTGCCATGATCACATCCTGTGGAACCATGAGGTTTGTAGCCTGCTGAGGCACTAGAACACTCTGGCTGAAAATTGTAAACCTATAACTGTAATTCCTAGGTTGGAACTATAATACAGTTGGGTCTCTGTATCCATGGATTCTGCAGCCCATGATTCAACAACCATCCATGGCTTAAATATATATATTTAATTCCAAAAAGCAAACCTTGATTTTGCAATTTCATATAAAGGGACACCATTTTACTACACAATTGTATATAACAGAATTGTAAACAACCACGGATTTTGATATCCATGAGCAGTGCCATTCTGGAGAGACACACCAACTTGAAATTTCCAAGGGCTCTTTGCAAATTTCATTCTTCTATCTTGCTCTCTGGAGAGTTCCTGCTGCAGTTGCAAGATGCCTGCCCTTCCAGCAGTACTCATTATAGTAAAGCAAGTATCGCAAAGCAAGATACCCCCAACCTGTATTGCACAGCTCAAGAGAATTCATGAACAGCAGTACATTCTGATTCCTAAATACAAATCCAGAGGAAGCTCCCTTTCCTGTAATAGCCCCATATAAACAAGCTGCTAGCAACTGTCCCAAGAGCCAGTGTGGCATAGTGGTTTGAGTGTTGGACTATGAATCTGGAGACCAGAGTACAATTCCCAGCTCAGCCATGAAACCAACTGGGTGACCTTGGGCAAGTCACACTATCTCAGCCTCAGAGGATGTCAATGGAAAAACCCCTCTGAAGAAGCTTGCAAAAAAAAAAAAACCCAGCAAAACCCACCCATGATAGGTTTGCTTTAGGATCGCCATAAGTCAGAAACTACTTGAAGGCACACAACAACAAGAATTGTCCCATAAAATAGCATGGAAACAGATGGTCATTTAAGGTGGCAGTAAATGTTTATCTAAAATTGAAACAAAAAAATTAGCAGTGGAGAATATTACATTCAAAGTCCAGTTGAAAGATCACCACCTTCTGCCACCCTGACTGCTCAAGATAAGCACATATGGTGACATTTGAGTACTTCCTTTAACAATAATCCTGTGATGTAGGTTAGGCAGAAAGGTAGCAGAAGCCCCAAACTGTCCAGTGAGATTCATGACTTATCAGAATTTAGAAGCCATCCAAATCCTACCTTGTAGTTAATTCACTCTGTGTGTGTGCTTTCAAGTCACCTGTCAAGTTATGGCAACCCATGAATTCTTCATAGGGTATTCTTGGGCAAGGAATACTCAAGAGATGGTTTGCTACTAGGTGGTTTCCTTCCTCTGAAATACAGCATTCATTATATTCACCACTTTTCAATTTCCCCTTCCACTATCATTTTTCCCTCTAACGCCCCAAATCAGAGCAAAGGCACAACTTGCTATGGCATGAGATGTTGTTGCTGTGTGCCTTCGAGTCACTCCTGACTTATGATGACCCTAAGGTGACCCTATTAGGCGGTTTTCATGGCAAGATTTGTTCAGAGGAGGTTTGCCATTGCCTTCCCCTGAGGCAATGTGACTTGCCCAAGGTTACCCAGGGGGTTTCATGGCCAAGCTGGGAATTGAACCCTGGTCTTCAGAGTCATAGTCCAACATTCAACCATTATACCATGCCTGAGTACCCAAGTTAGTATCAGTGGTGTTTTCACCATAATGGTAGGCTGAACAGAGACCATTTCCTGCACAGCCTTGTCAATGAACCACCTAGGGCCGTGTTGGCAAACCTATGGCATGTGTGCTATCTCTTGCATGCAAAGCTATTTTGGAGGGCACACGGAGAGACAGGAGGGCAGGGGAAGAGAAGGAAGAGGCATATGCCTGCTGCTCCTCTTTCCCCACCCTCCTATCACTTCACCTGCCTTTCTGGAGACTGCTGAAGGCCTGAGATGGCAGGGAAGAGGAGGAACAGGTGTGAGCCTTCAAAAAATTGGAGAGACAACTGAGGGCCTGGACAGGGGGAACAGGAGGTCCTGCCCCCCGGAAATCCTTCCCTCCGGAAGTCCCACCCCCCCGGCAAAGGGTAACACCAGGTGCTGGAACATCTTTAAATTTGGGCACTTCATCTCTAAAAGTTTCTCCATCACTGACCTAGTGGCTCCTAGTGTTAATATGACATTGCTCTCTCACTGCAAACGACAAGTGGAATTGCAGTTGACTTTCTAGAGGTTTGTTCATTTACTGTATGTACATCTCAACAGGTTCCATATACACCAGTGCCCTTAGCATCTTTTTAAAATGATTTGGATTCAATACAGATAGTGACTTACAAGGCAGTTGAAACCATTGCATCTCAACATACCTTAACCAGCTCTTTATAGTGGATACTACTTTTATCATCCATTTTCCCATGAATTTTCCTCTTTTGTTTTATGTCTTATTTGTTATTAAAACACATTGCTTCCAACACACAAACAGAAAACAAAAACAAAAAACCAGACTCCCTCCCAACTACCTGTTGCACACATGCCAAATGTAATCCAGAGGGTCCTCTCTCCTACCTGTCAGTCACTGCTATGCTGGAGCTGTAAGAGTTTAGCACAGAACTTAACCCTTACGCATTAAAAAACACTTTTGAAAATTGCTCTCTGGAAAACTCTACCCTTCTCATCTACTGGAGCTACAGAGGGAGGGCAGGTGAGAAATCTAAAAAAATGTACATCACATTCATCACAATCATCCGATGATACTTTATATCAATATAGTGCATCCCTGGTATCTACTGGGGTTTGGTTCCAAGTCCGTCAGTGGATACCAAAATCCGTAGATGCTCTAGTCCTAATAAATACAATGGCACAGTAAAATGGTGTCCCTTATATAAAATGGTAAAATCAAGGTTTGCTTTTTGAAATTTATATATTAAAAAAATCTGTGGATATGGAGGACTGACAGTATAATAAATAGAATAAACATGACACAAGTGAATAATGAAACTAGTAAATAATATGAAATGGGTTGCTCTACTTCCCCCTCCCATGTGTTTTTAAATTGTTGTGAGTCTGTTTAACTAAATGCTTACTATTTTAAAAATGTAATATCTTGTTTTGAAATCATGTTGCAAACCACTTTATGTTACAGTATTGGGAGAATGACAGGAGAGAAACTTTATATCAAACAGTTTTATTGATAATTTAAAAGGAAATAAAACAAAATACCAACATAAACAACTAATTGTAAAACAAATTAAAAAAAAACCAAAAACAAAGAAAGGAAAAGACCAGAAGGAAAAAACCAAAAACAAAAACAAAGGAAAAGAAAAAGAATCAACTAACACGTACAAACAAATAAGAATACCTAACATATAAACACCCCACAATCTCCTCTCTCCTCCGGGGGGGGTTATGGGCAAGAGAGAAAATTTTTAAAAATGGAAAATGAGTGGGGAGGAGAAAGGAAGCAGAGATCAGAAATCATTAGGTATATATGGAAGCAGTTTTGTGATTTCAAGTACCTATCTCAAGTCACAAAAAACATAACAATGACAGGCAGACCAAAGGTCTAATTAGATCAGTATTCAGGTTTCATAATGGCCAGCTAGATATTTCTGGGGAGCCCACAAGCAGGAGTTGAGCACAACAGCTCCCTTTCCCTCCTCTGAAATTTGTTCAGTGCCTCCAATAGTGGAGGCAACACATTGCCATTATGACCAGCAGCCACTGATATGGGGATCAATGAATTAATACCAGCACTTTGAAATGAATCAATGTGGAAGGCAATTTTATCCTAATCAATATTTTCTCAAGAGCCTGCATATTTAAAGAATGTGTGCACTTGCCTCTACAAGTAATCAAGCTGCAAATTGGCTGTTTTTCCTCATAAAATGAAGAATAAAAATACTCATAAGGAAACTCTAAAACACTTTCCCATACCACAGTTTACCATATACAACATGAAGATCATTGTAATTCTGTACACTGTATTAATGTAGTCTCTCTTTCCAGACTTGGATTTGGTCAGGCTTTCCTGAGGAAGAAACTTTAATCGCTGCTTTTCTGAGTGGTTTTATTATATTATTAGAGTGATACAGATATCCCTGCAAGAAAGCTTGAAATGTCTTTCAAAGACCCTCACCAAAGCCATGATCTGCTGTGTGTGAAGGATATGGGATGAGATGCAGTGTGGGGCAAAAGAGTGAAAGATACTGTCCTGAGCAGAAGGGACAGGATTGGTATTTACTGACGAATTAAAGCAAACATTCTCTACATTCTGACTCCATGCTGAATCATCAAACAGGCAGGAAAAAGATATCTTAAATCACAAACTAACAGTATGGGAGTTGGGGGCTAAGGAGAATATGATCTTATTTGTTTGTTCTTCAGTCATGATGACAGGACATTTTAACATCCCGCTTGCCATCATAATTATAACCTCTTTCCCTGAACTTTGTTCTATGTATCATCATAGCAGTTCTGTGTTTTGTTTCATTTAAAAAAAATAAGCTTGAATGAAGTGATGGATATAGCTGTTCACTTCAGTGGATCATGTTTAGATTTAAGGATGCCAATCCATAGGATGGGATGAAAGCTTTCTTCAGGGTGGAGAAAGCTGAAGTTGCACCCTGTCTATTTGCAACTCCTGTACAATGTATGTGTGTGTGGGATCTAGGATACAAGAGGGCAACTCTTATGTGCCTTCAAATCAACTTTAGTAACCTACCGTACCATAAATTAGTTGGCAAGATTTATTCACAGGAGGTTTGCCATCACCTTTCTCAGATGATGAGATGTGACTTTCTCACTATCACCCAGTGAGTTTCCAAGGCTGAGTGGGATTTGAACCCTAGTTTTCCAGAGTACTAGTCCAACTATACCACCTTGGCTCATATAGCTGTAGCTGTAGCAACTCCCAGCAGTCTTAGCTGCTATTGGCATAGCCAATGGTGAGGGGTCATGAGAGCCACAGTTCAACAAAGTCTGGAGGGCCACAGTTGCCTAATTTACTCAGTGCCTACAGCAAGTTGTGATCTTGGACCCCATTTTACTGCCACGTGACTCACTCATAGCTAAGGCTTATGCCAATCACCTCTGTTTGAAATGTGACAGACTGCTAAAGGAAAAGGAAGTGCATTGCTCAAGGGCTGAGCTTTCCTTCCCTACCATATCCCCCTTTATGCAAAACTGGTTTGTGCTTATTGGGCTTGTCCTGTGGTCATAGGAAGAGGAAATATAATAATATAAACCCTGGATGTGTAATGTATGACTGAGGAAGGCTGACGAGAATATAAACACTGTCCAAAGTAACTCATTCCATTTCCCTAGCTATTTCAATCCTTCCTCCAGAGCTAGCTGCAGTGTGTCCATACCAGAGAGTATAACGGTGTCCTGAATAAGATGGATTACTTTGATCCGTTTCAATTTAGTTTTAGGTCTAGTTATGGGATGGAGACAGCTTTGGTCACCCTAGTGGATGGCTGTCACCAGAAATTGGACTAAGGAGGAGTGTATCTTTGTTGGTTCTACTTGGCCTTTCATTGATTTCAATACCATCAATCATTGGTATCCTTTCAGACAGTCTTGCTGGGATGGGACATAGATGCGCTATTCTTCATTACTTTCTGAAACATTGACCTGAGAAAGTAATGCTAGGGAATTCCTGTTCCAACATCTTGGACATTTGCCTATGGGCTCCTTCAGGGGCCTGTTTTATCTTCAACAATATTTAACATACACATGAAGCTATTGGAAGGGTCAACTGGAATTTTGGGGTTCAATGACACTGAAATCTGTTTCTCAGTGGCATCACTAGCATTGGTGTCATCCTAATGCGATAACATGCTATCACTGCCAGGCTGCCTGACACACACATAATCACACCGCAGCCAAGCCAGTGGTCTCTCAGGAGTAGTTTGGGCCTCTGTTCCCTTCTCTGTGGAAGAGAAAAGCTGGTCTCCTTTCTGCTGATGTGGAGGTGGACCAGGGCACCTGAAGGGACGGTGTGTCCTGGGCTGTTCCAGTTCTATCTACCATGTTCACAACTCCCAAAGGGGTCCAGGCACCATTTAGTGATGGGACAGGACTCCAGGAGTTTGCCATCGTGTGCTGACAGTGTCCCAGCCACTGTCCTTGCCACCTCTGGGTAGGTGGACCAGGTCCTTCTCAGGATCTTCAGTTTCAGGGAGTCCTGCTCTACTTGTGGAGAGGCAGTATACTCCATACTGGAAGGTATTTTTGTCTTAAACCAGTGTTGGCATCAATAATTGATTGGATAGGAGTAAAACAAACTGAACAAAACAAATTAAAAAAAAAAAAAAAGAAAAAAGCAAAGGTGCTCCTAGTCACTCAAAAGTCAGATCAGGGAACAGGGATTCAGCCTGTCCTGAACAGGGTTATACTCCCACCCTAAAGGCACCAGAACCTGTACTTGGATGGGAGCGTGCCAGTGAATACCAGATGATGTAGGCTGCACAGTGGGACCTCAGTATATGCAGACTTGCTATCCATGGATTTAAGCTCTGTGGACGGCAAGGCTCCATTGTCCCCAATGGCAGCGTATGCATGTGGTCGCACCACCATTAGGGACAGCCCCCATTGTCCCCAGTGGTGGCACATGCACACAGCTGTGCCACCATTAGGGACAACGGGACTTCACTTGAAGTCCCGTTGTCCCTAATGGCAGCAC